TATGTACAGTGTACACGTATATATGTATATGCGATGGCGGGCGGGCCGGGGATAGTATTTGCATGGAATACACATTAAGGGTCGCGCGCCGGCAGAGATAAATGTACCCCTTCGGTGAAGTTCAGTGGCGATGGTGGGTACTTCCCACTCGTCCGTTCACAGACAAATAGCTCCTGGTGGCGGCGCGCCTTCATGAATTAAACAAAGAAAACCGACAACGACCGGGCGAGGGAGTAGAAAGTAGAATAAATTGGTTTTTTGGTTCTACAAAAACCACTCGAGATATATATATATATGTATGTAATTATATGAATATATCTGTGTGAACTCGAGATGAGGTGAATAATTGCGGGTCTTGGTCGACTTTAATGGAATCGGTTTTAATTATTTCGCCACTGTTAGCGTCGGTGGCGTAACTGCACATTTATTATATATATACATGATGCCGATAAGAAACCGCGAACGCTCCAATATACGTTGTAGGTATATATATAAGTATATAATATATATCTTTGAAACTTTAAAATGTTTTGCATATCGCTAGGTTTGACTTTCCTAAAGAGTTTTATCCATTTTCGTTACTTTCTCAGGTATTTTCTTTCATTTGCTCAGACTTTATTTAATCTGGGCTATCGGCAAGTCTATACTCACAAAGCAACGTAGACGTGATACCATTTTATGTCACTATATAAAACAATTATTTTCATTCTTTTTCTCGGCTAAATTTTAACTGATACAATTTTCAAAATAATTTTTGTTTCAAATATAATATATATTTTATACTTATACTATACACTCGTAATTATGTGTTAAAAAAAGTACAAAAAGCCATATTTAAATCTTTTTTTCTGTTTTTTTATTTTAAATGGTTCAATTAAATACAAACTATCAATTAAAAGTCAAATTGAAATAGTATTTTAACTTTTAAGACAAATAGCATAATCTTTGTATGTAGTCATATGCGTATTTCAATATTGTACATATATATGTATACAGTTACTCGAATCAAAAAAACAGTCAAAAATAAATGATGATTATCTTCATTTATCAAATAGATTTTTTCGTCTTAGTTGTACAATATCAAACTTTAATTATATTATATAGGAAATATATGAATCATATTATAATCCACATAAATGTTTTTATATAATAAATTAATTTGAAAATACTATGAATAGGGATGACTGATAATACTAATATTTTTATTAATGTAATAAAATATTTTATCAATATTAAATTCATAATTTGTGTTAAATTGTTTAATTGTTTATTAGTAATTTTACAGCTTAATATCATTCAATATAATTTTAACATGGTCGAGGAAACGACCAGTTAAATACAATATATCCATAGAGATTCGTAGGACCTATGGATATAGTTATCGTAGTCGGGCATAGATAGAAATAAAAGGATCGGAAATATATTTAAACAACTATGGATTCAATGACAGTTATTATTATTATTATTATTATTATTATTATTATTATATTACTTACAAAATACTTATAACATTTATGCTCACGTATAAGTAACTTCAATATTTTATAATAAAAGGTGGCTGTGTCGTAGTCCTATGGAGTTCGATAGTTGGTGGTTTGTTGATATCTAATATGTGCGACGAACTGTCGTTCTTATATAGTGTGTATTGGAAAAAAAGCCTTAAAGTTAATTATGTGAGAATGTGTGATTATATCGGTCAATAGATAGTTATGTATATATATGTAGTTATGTTACATAATTGTTACGTCATGTTTTGATCGAAAAATAATGAATTGAATATATTTCATTAACTAATGAAAATAATACTCATATTGAAAATAATTTTTAAAAATAAACTGTTGATATTCTACTATATTTTTATTCAAAACAAATTATTTTATTACATTTACTATTCTTTAGACCAACTATAAGAAAAAAATGTATTTATTCAATATTAATGTAGTAATATTACAGTATATAAACAGTTCAATAATAATATCAATAGTATCTATGAATTATTAATGACAGTAATATCATCTATAGAAATCATTGCTATATAATAGCTGTCGATGTAATAAGTTATAATAATGATATACGTACCTTATATACCTACAAGTATAATATTTAATAAATATAAGTTTATACTTAAACACATTTCAAATAATTTTATATAATATAATATTATGTTTGGGGATTTAATGTAAGTCCTCTGTAACTACAACATAAATAACTAAGGATAAACCATACGTATAAAAATTACAGTTAAACACGATGCATTATGTTTAAAATATTATCATGCTTATTTGTAATTAAATATGAATTCAAAGTAGATAGCAATTTATTTTATTTATGTTAAAATTTAATAGTTTATAGACTTAAAATTATATTTCATCTAAACGTAGAATATATACATACTACTGTTATGGCTATAGTTACTAGATAGTACCTAAATATATTTTATTTTAATAAAAATATATCTTTAGTTTTACTCAAATTTGATATTTTTAGAACTTATATCTATAACAATGACATCATTATTTCGGTATTTATTAAATTATTTTATTTTACATTTATTTATTCACTTTAGTAATTATATCTGAAGAATCGGTGAAATGTACATTATTATAATAGAATTTTTTTTATTTACTTAATTAGTTAATTAAAAATGATAATCACAGACTTGATTCTGATACACTGTATTCCAATTATAATGGAGATAAATGGATATAGAGATGAGAGAATAACGCGTCGCGTGTCTGAATAATAACGAGCTTACAGGAGCAACAAGTATATGCAGGCAGCGCAGTTGATTACTGATAAATATATGCAAAGTTGCAGTCGAAAGTTAACAACCAAATTATCGGTAAACCATTTTGGTTTAAAACTATAATATTATGTGTATATTATATAATATTATATCTTATAATAATACTTTTAAAAATACTCTGATTATTTATTTTGTACACATAGTTAAATACAACTCATGAATTTATTTTATTTTTTAATTTAAATATTTCGTGACCTCTACCTTTGATACATATATATTATATTTTTTTGGTTGCAAAATACATTTTTTCCTACCGTGACCGAGGAAATTTCCGGCTATACATTATGTAGATTTATTGCCTAAGTCCATGCGACAGGTTAGAAAATTGTCCTCAGCGAAAAGGAGAAAAAAGAGAAATATCGTAGACATCTTTGTAATTAAAATACATAATTTACTGTTTTTTTCCGTATCATCAAAAAGTAGTATTCACATTGTTACGATGAATTTTCCTATGGGTTATACTCGTATTACGCATATAACAACAATAAACCATGTGCATTTTAAAAAGGTCTTTGAATTAAAAAGCAATCCAAATAAAAAGATTACTTGTCAAGTGTGATGGAATGCGAAGTAAATATATAAGCCACTATAAATAACGCCATGTACTCTTCGCTTACATCGTATATTATCATATGACATGTCGCTTGTAAAACCAACTAGTAAATGTCTCCCATTAATATGACACATAAATGTCGACCGTTTTTTATTTATTTGGATACCTAAAACCATTATTATGTGCATGAGAAATCGTCTACGAAGTTGTTTTTTTAATCGTTTATTCGGTTGAACTTTTTTTGTAAGTGACAAATAGCTCGCACAATATGCCCTTTATGAATTTAAAATATGATTTATAAAACTTATAAAAAAATAACTTCATAAAAAAGTCCATACATTTAAACATTTTATTTGAATAGATAATATATTTTATTATATATACATAATTGTGCATTGTAAGCGTCTAAAATTTTTCTGACGAAATCCATATTCTTAGTATTGTAAAAAAACATATGACTTTTAATACTGTCTATTAAATTATTTGGTATTAAAACTTGATTTACTTAAATTGTTTATTTATATTTTGTGATGATACAATATTATATATGTACTTATTTATTACTTAATTTATATTAAGTTTTAGATTATAGTATTTTATGAAAAATAAAGTATTATATTTATATACTTAAATAGAAAACAATATTTAGTTATTATTTCATATCAATAGATTTTAATTAATTTTGAACGAACCCGTTTTTATTATAGATTTAATCTTTAGTAATACATTTTTAATCTTTTGTCATCATCATAACTGACTTAAATCCAAAGCTTGATCTTCACACTACAAATTTAAACAATGGTTCTTTAAATTTAAGGGTATGGTTTTTTTTCTTTGTGAATATACAAAAAAAAAACATTATGTTGATTTTGTTTGCAAACATTGTGTACCCTGCAAGGATCTGTCCTTAAGTGTTGAAAACAAATTTCATGGTTCGTTAGTGGGATACATTTAGTTTCGGATATAGATCATCCCCAGACGACAGCAGAACGAATTTTCGAAGTTATTTTCGTATATGTTTCCAATGTGGGTGGTTTTTATATTAATTGAATTTTCTAAAAAAAAAAAAAAAAAAATTACTTTATTGAGCACAAGTGTGGGCTTATCCCTCATAGAAATAGTTTTTTTTTAAATTTATTATCTCAACGATACGGATGCGACAGCCTAAATGACCATAACGTCTAATGCAAATTGAAAATCCTCTTCGCGGGACTTACTAAATAGTCGCAATAGAAATATTAAGACATAGGTTTATTAGAACTAGCGTAGGCTATAATAACGAAGTGTGAAAAAAAAATTAATGAATTCGTCCTAGGCCATTAGGCAAAAACATCATCATGTATCGTCTTTGTCTCTAAAGGTACTTCAGGCTAGACAGTGGACGTTATGGTCATGGAAAATATACAAATTAAATACGTTTTCATTTATTAGTTTTATAAATAATTTTTTTTTTTGCTGTCCGTCAAAACACATTTTATGATTTAATTTTTACATTAAAAACCTAATATTAGGATTAATTATGTCATATATATAGTATAGGTCATCAGATACTTAGTAATGACATTGTAAACAACGATGGTCATGATTTAAATAAAATAAAATAATAATGAAAACTTACCCCGACGATATTTTTTGTTTTAGATCCAAAATTATCTGTGTCCGCGGAGCACTAAATCGACGTACACGAAAAAGGTGAGTACACTTACATAACATTATTGTTACTGGCACCGCGTGTAGGCATGTGTCCCATCATAAGAATATTTCTGCCCTTTCCGGGAAAATAAAGAAAGAAAGGAAGGGACCGGCCACACTCCATAAATGAGACGGATTTTATGACCTAGTTTTTATGGGCCTTGTCACATTTAACCATTGACTACACCAGCCACCTGGATGCAATATACACAGTGTATGCATGCACAGTTGCGCAACAATGTATACATTGAATTCAAAAGAAATACTTGTATATAGCAAACCCGTGATTTTATGTTAAACTAACTAGAGTTAGGTTTTCCTTACCGTAGCATTCAGTAGTGTGATGATATATCAACACGTATTATTTTGCACGCAACCTGATCAATTGATAATGGACAATTATTTAATAGATTAGGTAGGTGTTTTACAATTGGAACGATTGGAATGTACCTAAACTATGCAAATCATATAAAAAAAATATTTAAAAAATTATACAAAATATTAATACAGTATTTCTGTAACATATTACAATATTAACGAATTAATAATAATCCTTACTATTCATAAATATTATTGCACTACAAGTAAATAATTATTCAAAATTACACTTTGTGGACATTAATACTTGTCTATAAAAGCTTAAGAAAAATGGTATAATCTAATAAGATAAAAATTAATATTAGAATAATCGTAAATCAGCAGCGTTGAAGTTTAATCTAATAACAGTAATTAAACAGATTGCATTTTTAAACATGCTAATTTTCACAATATTTTTATTGAAATAAAAATTTAATTTTTAAGATATTAAGATGTGTGGCTTTCATAATTAATTTTCCATAAATAACTAGTTTATATCATAAAATAAGTTTTAATACAATAATTCAAGCTATTAAACCCGTATTTATTTGTGCCATCGAGACTTAATAATGTGATGTTAACTTTAGCGTTACATCATGTTATCAACAAAAAATTTTCGAATACAATATTTTTTACATATTATAATATACAGGCAATATGCATGAACCAAATGCGTATTTCCTTTGCATAATCGACGACATTTTCAAATCAGCTCGTTTTCGTTGGTGAATGATTTGCAATGTGCTCACCCTAATACCGGTTTTTTTCAATTCCCGAGGGTTCTTCCATCCCCTATCGCAGCTGCAAGTTATTTTTTAATGGCCTCTTGTCAACAACCACCCCCAAGGACAGCCCATTCGTTTGCCATGCACAGTTGCCATGATCATATTTCGCGACTGATCGTCAATACATCTACCGTCTTTTCCATCCGAGCATTTATAGTGTAGCAAGCCCACCAAAAGTTACCAGTAGTTGTTTTTTTTTTTAAATATTTGTTATAAAAGTGATATAGACGTATATTAATTAGTTTAATTTAGTTTTTAATTTTAATAATACAATGTTCGCGTTTAGAGTGATAATTAGTGTTGTACCTACAAGTTTATTGTCTTTTGGATAACTAATACACAATAGATGACTTTCTCTTAAATTGGAGGTAATAATATTATATGAAAATTCTATGCAACTATTTTTAATTTATATGAGTAATGAGTATATTATATATTATATTAGACTACATTTGAATATAAAAATACCAAATAAAAAATCGAATTTATGGCTTACTAAATTTTAAAACTTTTTTTTGAAGTATGATTTTGATTTTCATTATGAATATTTGTTTAAATTCATGCGTTTTGTTTAATATTTATACTACATTAGCACGGTAGATTCTGACTTCGAAGATTTTTATTTTATAAAAATAATTAACTAATATTTAATTATTCAATAAGTAAATAATTAGAATACTACATAGTTTTGATTACACGTAATATATTAGTAAATAATGTTATAATTAAGTGTTTATCTGAATTTCCAAGAAATATTATCAAATTATTTTATCAAACTTATACAAGACTTTTCCAGTTGTTTACAACATTTTTCTTTATTATTGAAATATATATATTTGTAATTAGTATACTAAATAATGAGCAAACGTAATATCAAAATCAAGCCAAATTATTACTACTAAACCAAAATTTAATATTTAAAGAATAATTAATATGATATTAGTTTATTTTCGTTTTATAAATAAATACTCCAAGGTATTTAATTTACAACACAAATATTAGTTGTAATTGAAACTATAGCGTTAATCATTTTTTATTTTATTTTTTTTAATAATTTGTTAGATATTTGAGTGGTAGTTAATCAGTTTAGTTTATTTTAAAATAAATTGTACTGCTTATTAACTGTCATTAATAGTTATTAGTAGTTATAAATTACTAATTATGTATACAAAAACAAAAAAATGACTAATGCTTAAATTTATTTTAAAAGTTAATAAAAATTAAAAAGATTTAAAATTTATGCAAACTGATTTTGATTGAATTACAACTAACAGATACTGTTTAATAACGTTAATTTTTAAAGCACAGTTGTAAAAATAACGGTACAAAGTTTATACAAATATTGCACAAACTTTGAACTGATGTATTTAAACATCAGACTTTCAGATTGACGGCCGTCAAATATGTATAGAACGTATAATGTATTTCTCTCCGTGTGTCCAGTGAAATGGAAAATGTGGTGGCTATCGAAAACTTCAGCTGAGGGTAGTAAAAGGGTTACTCGGTGGTAGTACTATATTGGTGGGACCATGGCGCGTATATTAATCTTATGACTCTGCGTGCCATTTGCTGCATAATATAGAGGCCACGATATACTATATATTAAATACATGTATATGCTATACGTCATGCGTGGGTACCTATATACGAGTATATACATATATGACTGGAGGTTTCCGTGATTAAATGTTGAATAATTTAAATCCTCTTCGAATTTATATGTGTGTATGGCGTGTATAAGCGTATAATCTGCGAGTTTCGGGAAGTCGGATGGCAACGGCGACAGCAGAATACGCAAGCGTATGTGTGAATGTGAAAGGGTTGAGAGCTGAGAGGGAAAGGCCAATGGGATTTATTAGCCTGTAACACGTGTACGACGAAATCTTCTCTCCGCGTATATTTATAGTAAGCACAGTTATACACGCGCACGCTCGTATGTGTACGTGCATTGGTAACAGTGGTTAGGATATTCGCTTGTAGACATATATATACATATACAATACACATTATTTCAAACGCGCCGGATGTGTTTGATTTATATTTGTATGTGTATATGTATTAATATATATATATATATATATTATATATATATATATTCACGTGGGGAGAGAACTTCGCGCGCACATGCAACAAACGCGCATTCAGCACCTCGACAAGTGCAAGTTGCAATGAAGGAATTATAGTCCCATTGAAAAATTACAAAATTGTAATTCCATAAATCTGAGATAAAACGTGTAATCTGTACACCACACAATATTAAATTTACAATATCCGAAATACTTTTTTTTTCAAAGTCAATTTCTTATTCGTTTGAAATTTCAATTCTTTAGATATAATTATATACAATAACACTAAGTACAGTATTCAGAGGCTCTTAATTATTGTTCTCCCCCTTCCTGTTAATACTGTTTTACTGCACTGGCCACGATGATTTACCAAATACATAACATTATAGTACAGAGTATAATATATACTACTGAACTATTGCTTGACTTAATACAGTCTACCGAACGCATGTTATAACTAATATATATATATATATAAATAAGTACGTAGGTATAAAACAAATGTATATACATTCTTTGGGAGACGCCAAGGTCAGACGAAAAAAATATACCAACTCCCCAACGATTCCCACTGGCAGATAACACATCGTATATAATAATAATATAAACTCGTATACATGAAAACTGGTCCTAAAACACGACTGCATATCAGACGGGGTATTTGTGTTGCATGTGTACGTATATGTATCGCGTTCGCGTGTGTGTGCAGAGGATTTGTCCGACCGTGGTTCGACGAGTAGAAGGTGGGAAACGAGCCCCCAGCGGGAGGTTGTGCAGGTTGCAGGTAGACGATAGGTCAAAAGAAAAAAAAAACCACAAAGAGTAGAGAAAGCCCTTTCTTTTTAAAGACCCATCGCGAGTTATCGTGTTCTTCACGGGGATTCATTATATTCGGTTGGAATTTCTCAATGTAGTTGCGACAATGCAGAGAAAAAGAATCGCACGTGCCAGCCGCACACAACAGTATTATATACTGCAGACGGAACTGAAATACATAGTACATTGTTCTGGGTATTTTTTTTTTCATTCTATCAGACGAGATTTGTGTCGAAAAAAAAATATTTGATTCTCTACACGGGTACATTAGTATATTATGCAATTTTTATTAAAACACTGTTGGTTGAAGATTATGTAGCTTATGTGTATAAATATGCTATTTTATAATATTATATAGTATTGGGCTATACTCTGCAAGTTTTTTAGAAACTATTGTAAGATGACAATTTATGTGTTTCGATTTGTGTATAAATAGTTAAAACTAACACCCACTATTGCAGCAAAAGTAATTAACGTTTTTTTCTCCCTAATCATTCTTCCATGCTAAGAATTTGTTAAAAGGTTTTATTCGTATTCTGTTGTGTTTTCAAATAAAAAGTTTCACACTCAATGATATATCGTTTTAATTCTAATTATTCGAGTACAAACTCCTATTACAAACCAGTATGCTAATTATGATAACGATCTTACATTAACATGGTATCTACTATTAGTACTCACAGTAAATATCACGAATTTGATTGTAGATTTATTCGGCCAAAATTTAAACGGAATTTACTTTTATATTAAAACTACTATATAATATTTTACTATAAAGTTTGTAAAAGATATAAACATTATATTAAGTAACGTAATAAACAAATTCCTAACTAAGACCAAAACGGAAATAATTGTTCTAAAATTAATTTAATACGGTGAATCTTAAGTAAAAATATTAAATTATTTGCTGAGTATATAATATACATATTTATATATTTAAATTATGTAAGATATTTGAATAAATTATATACATCAA